CAGTGGTGGAGCTCAGAGCACTCCAGGCCATGGCAAACAGCAGGGCCAGCACAGGGGCTGGCAGAAGGCTCAAACCTTATGGCTCCTGGCCACGAAACCCGCATGTGCAGCTTGTAGGATGTGGAGGATTGGCCAACTCTGACCTACTTTTCCCAGGCTGTTGGAATGGAAAAGGGAAGGAGTTTGACTTGTTTTCCTCTTGCAACTCCCTTGCAAAAATCAGAACCTGCTCCAGGGCCTTGCAGGAAGAGCCTTAGCTGATGACACTTCAACAGGTATGGTAGCTAAGCCGGGGGGCAGGAGTAGCCAGATGTGATCCTGAGAACAGCTGGATCAGTCCTGAACCAGCTGCTGTAACACCAACTCCAATACAAGCAGGCAAACCTCCAATTCCTCCTGTTGTTAGGCCAGGTTTAAAACCCTGCACACCTACCTAGGCTGCTCTAGACTGCTGTGACTTGGGCTTTAGCTAGGACAAGTTCAACCTCAGGAGCTCTGGCTGATGGTGAACAGCCACACTAGTGGCTGACACCACACTAGTTCAGCCTAACTGCAGTGGAAATGCATCTTTTATTCCAACAGGGAAGACAGCAACTGGGATGGAAGCTAAGTACCAGTGTCACAAGCTATCAAACTTTAAACTTTCTTGAGAAAAGATTTTTTTTTCCCCTTGAAATGGCCCAGAATTACAAATGTTCATTATCAAAGCATCAAAAGTAGCTGAAGTAAGTAAAAGCTGCAAATCCAAAACAGGATTAAGCAAGATTAGCAATCATTAAGAATAGTCATAAAACTGGTTCCCTCTGTAGATGCTTCCATTTGTTTTGAAAGCCATTATACTGAAATGGATCTTTAAAGATACAAGACAAATTTTACAGTGCTTCCTTTGACCAAATTTTCCACCAAGCTCCCTGAAAATCCAGAAAGGGAGAGATGCTATGGAAAGAAGAACCAGTTTGCAAGCATTTCTCTTCTACAGTATTGCAGTTTGGGATTCTGGTCGTTTTTCTGCAAGTTCTTGTACTGTCATGGAAGAAATGAAAGGCTCTACAGTTTGGGTGGCATCTGAGTAGACTCAAAACTAAACATCTACTATATAGGAACACACTAGATCAGAGGCAAGATCTTTTCCAAGAGCTCCAGTCAGAGAAGTGATTTTACAAGGTCTGGAATCAGCAGAAAGCTAAGCATTTAAGATAACTAAATCCTCACCAATGCCATGCAGATTCTGTGATATTTTATCTTGTAATAGGTTTGTGTGGCAGCTTTTGGGCAGCAGGGGAATAGAATCCCAGAATGGTTTGGGTGGGAAGGGACCATAAAGCCCATCCAGTGCCAACCCTGCCATGGGCAGGGACACCTTCCACTAGCCCAGGTTGCTCCAAGCCCCGTCCAACCTGGCCTTGGACACTTCCAGGGATCCAGGGGTAGCCACAGTTTCTCTGGGCAACCTGTGCCAGGGCCTGCCCACCCTCACAGGGAAGGATTCCTTCCTAAGAAATTTCTTTGTCTCTTTTTGTGTTAAACTGTTTTTCTGCCAGTTCAGCTGGCTCACCCCCATCACATGTGTCTGACAGGTGGTACAAGGGTTGCAGCAGGAACACCAGAAAGAAGGAAACGTCTAGGTGATAAAGTGGGTTTAGTTGTCTTTCTAACTATCCTACTCTGTTACAGTTAATTGGCAATAAATGGCAGGAATTTCCTCAAATTGAGTGTGTGTAGCCCATGTCAGTAAGAGGTGAATGATCTCCTCTCCTTATCTTGACCCAAGAGAGCCTTTCATTATATTTTCTCCCCTGTATTGTTGATGGCAGGGGAGTGGTAGAGAGACCAGCCAAGGTCAACCCACCAACATCTGCTGCAGTTACTCAGCTCATAAACCTTCCAGCCTGTAAAAGATGCAGCCAGAAGAGCTGAGCACAGTGAACAGAGCAGTCACTAAACCAGAATTTACATCTGGGGAAAGCTGCATCACCTGGATGTTGATGGGATGATGATATCTTGGACTGACATAATCACCTTGACAGAGACACCAAAAACTGAAACAAGTTAAATCAGTAAAGAAAATACTTCTATATTAAGGCAACAGTAAATGGGTAGATACCTTTAATAAGAAAGGATTTGAATGAACTCCTGGAAAGAGGGTCTGCTCTCAAACTTCTTTTGCCCCTCCCAACCATGCTGGGTCATTTCTTACAGTACATCTCATTTATCATCCCCAAACATGCATTCACAGAATGACAAATTGGTCAAAGTACACTGACTTCCTTCACATATGAAAAGCATCTGGATGGAAAATTTCTATTATGCAATTATTGCCATTTTGGTTTATTTTGATGTGCTCTATCAGTGAGCAGCAAGAGCAGCTACTGTAGCTCAGCTACTCAGATCCTGGGATGACCAAGATTTAGATTTGGTTGCTTGTCTTTGTCCGATCACCTCCCAGAAATGTTAACTCACAGACACAATGGGAAACCACAGCCAAACAGAGGGCTGGAGGCTATCCCAGCTCCAACTTCCTCTGCTGTTCCACCACAAAGAGCAGCCAAGGCACTAAAAATAAGTCTTGAATCAGCAGAGCTGCCTGTGTGACCTGGTCACTCCTGGAAACACACTGCCTGGGGAAGCTACACTGTAAGTGGGCACCTGTGACCTGGGTTTAAGGATAACACAACCATTTACACTCCTCATTAATGAAGAGCTCAATAAATCTTGAAAAACACGCTTAAAATATTGCCTGGGCTTAAGGAGACAGAACTCAGGGCCTCCATGCCCATCCACACACCACCTTCCAGCTAAAACTCTTTGAGCAGAGGCAGAGTTCAGAGCTTTAAGATGAAAATATCACACAGAGCACTTCAGCATATTTAATCAGCTTAGATTGACCCAGATTTTTCAGAGCAAGTCTTGGAAAAACTGACACGGCAAAAAGAACAGCAAAACATTACACAAAATCCCCCATGTTCCCCCATCACCACCACAATGTAAAATTAACTCTCTTGACCCCAGAACAATAACAGCAGAAAAAAAATCAGGGGCAATCCACCAGAAGAGCCAACAGCTTGGTAGTGTCCATAATGGGACAGTGTCCATGAAGGGTATTCAGGTACCCACCCCAACCACATCACAGCCACCCTTCCTGGCAGTGATTCCTGTCCTTGAGACAAGAACAGTTCAGAAATTCCTTCCACAAGTTCCAGTTTTGGTAAATCAAATTAAAAAAATAAACATACATATATACATATATATATATATGTTGGCACAATCAACTGTAAAGACCCTTCAGCACTCACAGCTTCAAGCATCTCCCCTCAGTAATTAACATGATCACTGCTTTGATCAAAGAGCTCCCAGGCTCCAACACACCAAGCTTTGTAAAAACCTGGGAAATAAAAACGTTGTTCACTTTCCCAAAATAAAAACAGACACAACGATCTGTTTCTCTCACTTTGGGGGATTTGCCAGGACTCCAAGAACCAGCCCCAGGAACTTGGAAGCTCCCTCAGAGATGCCCCAGGCTACAGAGCTCTGGTAGCTGCCTCAGACAGGAAACAGAGCAGGTTTTGGTAGCCCTTAGTTCTGACAGGTTTTATCAAAATAAAATCATCTTCCTGAGCAGCTTTTTGGTTTTGATGATTTGCAAAGATAAGAGGGTGGGTTTTTTTGGAAGGGAAAAAAAAAAGGAAATTACATTAATGGATTGCACTTGGAATTTATTCTATAGGAATATGGTGGACAAAAATGCCATGGTCTTCTGGCTTTCTTCACCCTTTCCCCACTCCCTTTAATATCATATCATGGGGTCCTCTCTTCAACCTCCTCTTTTCTCTTCCCACATTCCCCACACTGTCTCACAAAAGAGAACTCTGAGTCTGAGAACCTGTGTTGTCCATCTTCTCACACACACAAACCTGTGGGCTCCTTCTTCCACTCTTCCAGCACTTCTCCTGAGGTTTTTTTGTATAAAGATTATATAAATATGGACATACACACCCCACTGCATCTTCTCTGGGTGTTCTATCCTTTACCCCACAGGAGATGTTAAACAGATTCCCAATTCCCTCTTTTTCCCTTCACCAGGGCTCCCCTCTCTCCCCTCATACTTGGGGCTCTTGAACATTCCCCTTCCAAGTGTCCTTCCCCCAGTTTTACTACCAACAGTAGACTTTAACTCTGAAAACCCACTGTTAACCCACTGAAGCAAAGCTGAGTGTCAGAGCAGGAACTGGAAAGCATTTGCATGTCCAAGGAGCCTGATGGGAGAGCAGGAGCAGGACATCACACTCACCCTCCCAACCCCAGCCTTGGGCTATGCCAGGCTCTGCACAGAGTGCCAGGGAAAGGGAGAGATGACCTGGCAGCAGAGCAGTTAGACCTGAGGAAGCGGGAATATTCTTTCTGCAGATTCAGCCAATATTCTCTCCCTCTTCCCCCCTTTAGAGCAGAGAAGAGTTTTCATGGGTTGTTCTTCCTGGTGGTTTCCTGTTCAGCTACACAGTCCAGCAGCCTCACAGAAAGGGGAAGAAGTGCTGGTGTCATGTATCTCCCCACCACAAGATCTGCTGACCCATTTGGGGTTGGTTTTTGAAATGGCTTTTATTTTTTTCTCTGCACTGACTCAGCAGAGCTCTGGGTTCCTCTCCTTTGACATGTTCCCACCAGCAAACCACAGCCTTCTGAGGCAGCAGCAACTGCCAGTCCCACAGGACTCACACACTGAGCCAAAAAGCTAATTGTAGGTGTTGCTTGTTGTAGGCAAATCGTTTACAACTCACTCAGCTCTTCTGGATCAATGGAAAGAAGGAGCAGCAAATCTGCCCTGAGTGAGAGTGAGCAATGACACGGGGACACTGCCCTGGCTTTAATAAGACAGACAAAAAACCACCCCCAGCCCAGGAACAATCATTTAATGCACGACAAGCTGGATGTGTCATCACCTCCCCCTGCCTACGGCAACAGCCTCATGGAAGAAAGAGCAAAATAGAAAGAGAAATACTCACGCATGTCACCAATGGCTCCCTTGGTGACATTTGTGGCTTTCCTTACTGTCACAGTGAATATGTGTGAGTACTGGTGCTCCACCTGGAAGTCAGAGAGTTAGAGGTGATTAAGCTCCAGAACAACAACAACAACAACAACCAAAAATCATCTATGAAAATAGGGTTTCATTTGGTCCAAAAACAGAGAGAGGGAAATCACCCAGGCAAAACGTAAGGGAAACTCATACTGGATAGAGCATCTTAAAGCTGAACTGCACCCTGCAGCTTTACTGGGAGGTCAGACCTTGCACTGGGGCTGCTGGATTTTCCTGCAGCCACACCTACTAATCTCAATGAATAACACTCCTCCTCTCCACACAACCTGCTCCAAGGCATTTAGTCAGTCAGGGACAACTGGGTACGGTAAGGAAAAAATAAAAAAGGGGTTATTTTACAGCTTGTCTTTGTAATTACCTTCCCCTGGTACAAAGAACAGGAGGAATTATTTCCAAGTATGTGTTCTGGAGCAGATAAAAGCACACTGCACGCGCAAGGGACAGAGTGAGTGATACTTGGAGTACACCTTTTAGCACACATCAATATTCAGTGGGAAAGCATCCTTAAGACAATGTAAGGAAGGTGAAAACCCAGCTGTTAAAACATTCCCCAGCAAGTTTTGTGCAGTTTCTGGGGGTTCCTGTTTCCTGCAGAGCCCAAGCACACAGCAGGAGCAGGTCTCTCCTGAACAAACTAGGGAAGTAGGAAAAGATGTGAAGTTAAGAAACAAAAATAAATAAATTTAATAAAAAGAGGTCACCAACTCACATCTACTGTTGCTTTATCTACATAGCCATAAATTTGACCAACTCTGAGACTGACCAGTGCATACTGCAGGGCAGACAACACTGCCTTTACAGGGACAGAGCACAGAGATTGTGGGTATATCTGATGTGCTGGAGGCAGGATCAGGTCTCCCACAATTGCCTCCCAGCCCTTACACCTACACTGCTATGTTAAAAGCCTGTCTTAGGACACTTGAGCTGTCTGGCTGCCCACAGTGCCCAGACACTGACTCACACCCTGCTACAACATACCTCAGGTTTGCATTTCCAACACTGAAACAGGGATATTTTCTATTTTTTCCTAACCCCCTATTAACTTTGTGATATATTTGGCATATCAGCCATTGGGACCAAAACAACCAGCCAAGTATCAAAGGTCTTACAATGCATTCCAACCAGAAGGAAAAGGGGGAAAGATCAGAATCAAGAAATTCACTGGAATTTATTTAAAACCACAGACAATACCCTTGGTGTGGGACATGCTTTTCAGGCTGTGCCTGGTGCTTTCTTGCTATGTTTTCATCTGGACACTTCCTTTTTTCAAAACTGGTTGTTCCAGCCAAGCCTCATTATTTCTCATCTACAACTCACCCAGAGAGTCTAGAACCAAACTGGACCCCTCTAATACAAATAAAAAAAAAATATTATCTTATAGGTATCTCACATATCATTTCCTCAAAAAAACCCCAAAAAAAGTCAAAACCAACTAAAGACAGCAAAAGTGGCTTGTGAGTGTTTAAGTAACAGTTGTGTCAGGATACATTAAAAAGCAACTCAAACGATACCAACCCAAATGCCTCCACAACCCTGAGCACAGCCACACCATCCATGACTGTCTGTCTGTCCAGCAGCACATGGCAGCTCCGGGATCCCTCCCCTGTCAGCTGTAGGAGCTGTCTGGATCAAAGAACAAGGCAGCAGGCAGGGGGAACTGTGGTAATGCCAGCTGTTACCTTACAAGTGGTGCACTGAAACCCTCATCGGTTCAGTGGTTCACCAACCACAGGAAAAGTGGAATTCAGACTCTGCCTGATCCTCCCAGCGGGACTCTTTGCTCACCTCCAAAGCACCAAACCCAACAGAAAGGGTTTAGGTGTGGGAACCCACAGCTGGTAAGAACCAGCACCTATTGAACAGCCTGCCCTGTGCTGGCATGGAGACATACCCAGGATTCCATGACATCCATCACCACCTGCACTGCAGCTTCCAAGAGCGCATGGACGAACGGGAAGGAGGATGTGACTTCTCCGTGAATAAATTTCTGCCTCTGTCACAGGGCAAAAAAAAGCCCAGAGTTTTCCATCACAGTGGGGTAAATGGGGATTTTAGTGACTACCTGGGAAGAGCTGGTTCTATGTGAACACAGTTATGTGAAGTTCTGTCATTCACCCTGCTCCAAGAATTTTTACAAGCTGTGAATCTCCCAAAACCAACAGCTCCCGCTGTCCCCTATTTTCAGTTTGCTGCTTAAAAACACCCAAAGCTGCTTCATCAGTGTGTGCCATCTTCACACAGGTCAGGTTGATGAAGGGTTGGTTTCACAACACGGTGCTGGCCTCAGTTTGTTCACAGACTGATGTATTTCCTTTGTCACATACAACCTTATAATTAAGAGAAACAGCCCAAAGTACAAACACACCACCCTTCTCCTTTTTCTCAGCTCTTAAGAAAGAGCTTGTCCTCACTGGAGAACACAAATCAGAGATCACCAAGCATTTAGCAACGAGGAGGAGGATGGAGTTATAATTAAGTGACAGGGATGGGACATGGGTGTGCTGCATTCAGCTCTCAGCTGATACATGAAATTCATGTGAAATTCTGGTGCCTCGGAGTCCTCAGTGGAAAACAAGGAGACTACACGATGCTTCCTGACAAAAAGCACTCTGTAAAGTCATTTTCTTGCATCTCCCAGTCCTACTCATGAAATTTATATGCCTAAATAAAACGCCTACCACCAAGCCACCACTTACTAGTGCATTCTCATTCCAGCAGGACAGAGATCATCACTATTTCTACTGCAAGTCAATAACTGTTTTGCTAAACAGTTATATTATCATAAAAACTGCTTTTTATTGACTGAAACAGCAACCCCCACCATTCCAGCTGTTAAACTGCCAGGAAAGTTAAGTCTGGTTTAAGATCTGGGATCCTTTGAAAGGAAGGCAAGTACACAGAGGCCTGGCAAAACCAGAAAACATTATATCCTTTCCCCATGCCTCACACTGAGGATTATAATTATAAAGAGTTATTAATATTTGGCCATAATGACACACTTGGAAGAAATTTGTAACTACTAAAATAAATGATCTCCCCGTTTGTAAAAAGAAAAATATACAGAGATGCACAGGAAGCTCCAAAGTCCAGATCTCTTCTTACACCAAAATAAACATTTTTCACGTAACTTAAGTACAATGGGAAATTAGGGCAATTTTCCACTTAGGATCCAGTTTCTAAGGGGATTAAAAGGATTAAATGTCCACATTTCAGAAGCATTTTTTGGTTACTTTTTGGAGTGAGTTCTGAAGGCATCAAATGCCCCCTGGAAACACCACAAGAAATGTGTTGACTCCAAATACCTCTCCAAATCCATCCCTTGCTGCTTTAGATGACTAAGCTGCATTTTCTCAAGTGACTTATGTTCACCTCAAATCTTGATAAAAATCTGTACATTGCCAACCCCTCAAGTACTTCTGAAAAACAGAGGATGGTAAATAAATCACTTAAACGTTGCAACATTGAGTGGAGCAACATCTGCATTCCTTCAAAAATTGACGACAGGTTACAAATTTCAAAAGCTCACAACTAATTCTAGTGGAAGGTGTCCCTGCCCATGGCAGGGGGTGGAATGAGATAGGCTTTAAGGTCCCTTCCAACCCAAACCATTCTGGGATTCGATGAATTTAAAGAACTCAAACCTACCATCCACAGTGGCCTCGCTTTACAGGTGCATTTCATCTCACTTCCTCTTTGTCCATAAATTTAGAGAAGAAAGGAGAAAGAGGTTTTCAACCTGCCCTCTCTGAGCATGGGGTTTCTAAATTACAGGACTCCTATGGGCAGTATTCACTCTACTGGTTCAATACTGGTTTTCACCCAGCTGGGCACTGGGACAGGCTCCCCAGGGCAGTGGGCACACACCAAGGCTACCAGAGCTCCAGGAGGGTTTGGATGATCCTCTCAAGCACATGGTGTGACTCTTGGGGAGGGGCATGAGCAGAGCCAGGAGTTGGACCTAATGATCCCTGTGGGTCCCTTCCAACTCAGCATGTTCTGGGATTCTGGGATTCCAGGTATCCTGCACAGTCACGATTCAATATCTGCTGTTCTCACACACCTTTCCATCTCTCCTAACTCCTCCCTCTGCCTCCTTTCTTCCTCCCTCACCTTTGCTTGCCTTCCTCCCAGTAAAATTTCCCTAATTGTCTGCTTTCCTCCCTTTAACATACTTTACATCTTTGACATATTTGTGAGCACACAAACACCATCACCTTCCCACTCTGGGGCTGGGAAACAACCTCACACCAAAGTCTCCCGGAACGCAGGTGGGTTTTACCTACAAACTTTCCGGACTTGCCAAGAAGGAGGAATTTACATGTCTCCAATATCATATTTGTGTATTCCAGAATGCTGAGTCACAGAACACAACTCCATCAGGAGATTGCCTTGCACACCAACCCCAATCAGGAAGCTCTGGCACGGGCAGATTGCATAAGTATTTAATAGTTTTACTTCCTCAATGTTAAGGTCACTTAAGCTCACAGCTGGGCTGGACAAATGACAATATTTGCCTGTTTACTTAAGTAATAGATTTTCAGAGTCCATGCTCTTCTTTCACAGGATATTTCAATTCAGACAAACATTTGTACACACACACACACACACAATTTTACCTTGAAGCCATTTTTCCCATTGTTATAATATTTATCCCCCATATCACTGTAACCAAAGATGTATTACATATCTTAAGTCTCTAAATCTAAAGCTTTTTTGGCACAGTCTGCACCTCCAGTAGCTTTTTATTCCTCAGAGTCTTTCACAAAACGTGAAAGAAAGATAAATAAAAAGATGAGAAAACACACAAATCAGCAAAAGGACTTTTAGGGAGAACACTTTTGAGTCTTTTAATGTCAAATGTTCTTAAAATCCAAGATTTTTGCATGGGTACGAGCCTGCTGCCTTCCAAATTCCAGTAAAAACTTCCATGGAATTTCAACTTTCAAATTAAGAAACCTCAAAAGATTTCCATTCACTTTTCAAGCAATTAAAAGATCAGCTCTTGCACTGACAGTGTTTATTACAATATATATACTGGCATCAAAAGATCTTTCACGGGAATGATTCAATGAACTATAACCGAGTGCCTCAGAGACCTCTCCCATAAAGGTACAGATCATTCCAAGCATTCCATCCAGGAGAGGGCAGTGATGCCAAAAGGAGCAAGTCAGCGAATTGTAACACAGCTAAACAGAGACATCAACCTGCAGTTGGTCCTTCCAGCAGAGTTCACAGGCCTGTGGAGGAGCAAAGCCCAGTCTGGCACGTGCTGGCTGCAAACTGGAGCAGAGGATGTGAGTGTGTGGGGTACAAACCACAGCACTGATAAGAGATCACTTCAAGGAAGCACAGGGGGTATTTTTAGCCATGCTTTAGAAGCACAGCACTCTGACAAGTGTGGTTATCTCTGGGTACACGTCACTGTTCCTGCTGGGGGATCCCGGGGCTCTTCCGAGAAGCCCGTGATAGGAACACGCCCGGTGTGGCTCCAGATTTCAGTCTGAGCAGGAATTGCCCTTTCGTGTTTACTCTGGAAAGTCACTTCCAGGAGAGCTACATGGGAATATCCCAGTGTTCAGTGAGCCACTGCCTCGCCCCACAAAGGGCAGTTCTGCTCCCCTTTCCCTTCTCTTGTCCCTGCTTCTCCGCTACACAGGTTGTGCTGACATGGCTCCACCCTCCCCCTGGGCCAGCTCTGACAGCACAAAACGGATTTTCTAATCATTCCATGAAATCCTGGAATGGTCTGGCTTGGAAGGGACCTTAAAGCCCATCCCTGCCATGGGCAGGGACACCTTCCACTAGCCCAGGTTGCTCCAAGCCCCGTCCAACCTGGACACTTCCAGGGATGGGGCAGCCGCCGCTTCTCTGGGCAACCTGTGCCAGGGCCTCACCACCCTCACAGCCAAGAATCCCTTACTAATAACTTTTTTTGGTCTATTTTTGTATTGAACTGTTTTTTCTGCCAATTCATCAAGGTCAATTGTCTCCCTAAAGACATGGGTTTGATAGCTGGGACAAGGGATGCAGCAGGAACACTGGGATAAAGCAGGAAGGAGGGAGCAGGAGCTTTCAGCAGCAGAAGCTGTTGAGTAGCACAGACCATTTCACTCAGACCTTGAGTTTGCAGGATGTATTCTGAAGATTACCTTTGAACCAACATCATTGATATACACTAGTTTAAGATCTAAATACCCAAAATTGTCAACTCACTCCTCTATCCATACTAATGAAAAGGGAAAGAGTCAGTAAATAGAATTGTACCAAAAAAAAATTGTACTGTAAGGGATAAAGTTACACACACCATTTCTTTAAGGAATTAGTAACAACTGCAATCTTATGTGCTTATTTAGAGTAACCTCTAGTAGAACACATTATACAAGACAGGATATATTACAGAAGACAGTATACACAGAAGATTCAGAGCTACTTACCACAATGTGCTGGTAAGGATCTATGATAGACATTTTTGCTTAATTTTTATTCAAGGCAACTGTCAAATATTTATTTCAATTCCACAGAGGAGAGGCTTTCTTGTTTTTCAGAGCAGAGTTCAGTATGAAAGATCCTTTCCCTACTAAATAAAGAAAAAAATACAATTAAAATTCTTATGTTCCTTTTAAACTGTATTTTGTAACAGCACAAATCAGTTCCTCTGCTCTAGGAAGGTTCCCAGTACTCACTTGTTTACCAAGCAATTAATTTCAATAAACTATGGAGATACAGATATTTACTTGCCTGAGCTGTAGAAATTTCTCGTGCTTATTTCCTCTACCTCAGGGTAAGAGCGGGAATCAAATATCTGGAATTCCAGTCATCCCAGTATCCTACAGACAAACAAAAGAAGAAGGCATTACATTCATCCCTTACATACATTCTAATATATATGCTTCCACACATTACAATCCTAGTTAAAACCAGGACTGAGAACTCTAAAGGAGCAGCAACAGTGCCCTCTGTAAACCCAGAAAGGCAATTCCAGCCAGAGCTGTGTGTCACCTCCAGGTCACCCCAGCTCTCTGGAGATGCTCAAGAGGCTGTGACAGGCAAACTGCAAATCAGCCGGAAGGATTTAAACAGATTCTTCATAGGCCACTGCTTTCTGAACACTTGGTGAAAATCAGGGGCCACCAGAGACCTTCAACTTCAGAACTGTTTCCAACCATCAAAGGGAGGTTACTCCTTTCTGCATCTCTAAAAATCCATGGGGACTGCTGCACAGGATCAGTTCTCAGATCCAGCTGGACCATGATCAGACCTGAACCATCACAAAAACTTCAGAGTGAAAAGAAGCAAAGCACCACGTGGGGCTTGGTCTCAAGAAATGATTCCTAATCCTCAATTCTGAAACGGCAGGATAAGCCCTAAAGAATGATGATTTATATCACTCCCAAACCCCTGGCTCTCAAGCAATTATGTGCAGGCATTACAATAACAATCTAGTTTTGTTATGATCACTGGAACATTACAATATCCCTTCATTAATCACTGAATCATTAAGGCTGGGAAAGCCCTCCAAGATAATTGAGTCCAACCATTAATCCAGCACAGCCAGGTCCACCACTAACCCACCACATCTACACATTTTTTGAACACTTCCAGGGACAGTGATTCCATCACTTCCCTGGGCAGCCTGGGCCAGTGCCTGCCCACCCTTTCCTGGCAGCTCTAACAATAGCTTGAGGCTAGAAATCACCCTAGGCTTATTTATTTGTTTTTATCTAAGGAAGTCTGAATAAGAAAGACTTCAGCACTGGAGTAAATGTGCCCAGCCATATCAGTTTTGGAGGAACTGCTGGAATTCAAAGGCAATCCAGAAAAAGGAACACAAGTCCTATCCAATCACTGTCATGAACAGGAATTTTTTAAGTCGTAAATCAGAAAATACATATTTCCCCTAAGTGCACAGCCAACTACCAACAAGCACCACACTCAATTTGAGAGGATACACAAAACCAAGCTGAGGATACTGCTCTGTCCCTGGAACTAAGAAAACAGGTTAAGCCTGGTTCGAGTTGTTTGTCTTGCATCCTAAAGGCAGAGTTCCAGTTCCCCAGATGATCACTGAACTGGCTTAGACATGAGATCATCCTCACTTTTCCTATTACCCCCCGCCTCATTTATTTCAACATCTGCAGGAAACGCATCTGGGATGCTGCAAACAACAGCCTCTTTGACTGCAGGGCCAGGATGAATCCCCAAGCGCCACCTGCCCTCCATGTTGGATGAGACAAGGATGGTGCAGACAGACAAAAATGCGATCACGTCATCACCAACTGCCTCCCAAACACACCCACGCTCACTGCGAGGGAGGGACACACGGACAGAGCTCTCAACAGGGACAAAAGGGCCAGGGAGCCTTGATGTGACAGACAAAGCCCAATATCCTGGTTTTCCGTATGGCACATCCCACCCCAACTCCTGCTGGTGTTACTCCAAATGGGAACTCTTGCTTTTCTGTCTCGTCGGTCTTCCAGGATGCACTAAACAGAGGCAGGTACCCAAACCCAGGCACCCAGTGCCATTTCAGACATGTGAGTGCACCTGGCAGACAGACATATATTCATGCCCTTCCAGGAGCCAACACCTGAAGAAGCAGCAGACATCTATGTTTAAGTGACTCAAATACGTATTTATGTCCTTTATATTGGACTTCATTCCTATCAGTTACTTGACCCTGTCATAATTACATTACACCCTCTGCAAGCTCACACTACATCATCCATGGAGTTTGGGTTAATAGATTCTATACCTAAAAATTTTATTGTGGCAGAGGAGTCAAATACAGCACTACCAGAAGGTCCCTGTTACACTCACCAAGAGCCATGAAGAAAGTCTTGGAGAATGTTTGCTTCAAACATCTGCAGTAAAGAGAGTTGTGATCCCAAAATTATCTCAACGCTGCTCATATACATTGTCCATCCCACAAAGCCTAATGGAAGAGTCTTCATACCATCTCAGATTATCCTGAGTTGGAAGAGACCCACAAGGACCATCCAGTCCAGCTCCTGGCCCTGCACAGACACCCCAACAATCCCCCCCATCCCTGAGAGCATTGTCTAAACCCTCCTGGAGCTCTGGCAGCCTCGGGGCTGTGCCCACTGCCTTGGGGAGCCTGGGCAGTGCCCAACCACCCTCTGGGGGAAGAGCCTTTCCCTGAGATCCAACCTGATCCTGCCCTGACACAGCTCCAGCCATTCCCTGGGTACTGTTCCTGGTCCCCCCAGAGCAGAGATTGGAGCTGCAGCCCCCAGTGAGCTCTGCCCTCAGTCTCCTCTGCTCCAGTCGATCTTCAGCTAAATTAAGGGCTGCAGCACTAGCACACACAAAGACCTGCACTTGAGCTGGAGAGTCCAACCCTTGACAGATGCAGGGAAGCCTCTGAGCATATCTGCAAGGACACTGATATTACTAACACAGATTGTTTTGTTTCCCTGATATCTGGTGGTATCACATTATCTGTGACTGTGCTGTTCCCAGGGCTGACAGCATTCCTTCCTAAAGGAAAAGCATCTCACAGGCCGTGCTGCTGCAGCAACATGAGCATAAATCCTGTGTGGACAGGGTTTGGAACAACCTGGGCTAGTGGAAGGTGTCTCTGCCCACAGCAGCAGGTAGAACTAGATGAGCTTTAACGTTCCTTCCAACTCAAACCATTCTGGGATTCCTGTTGTCTTACTGACGAGCATCCAAGTTTACGAATTACCACACCAAACAGCCTCTTGAACAGGCCACAGTTCAGCCTGGTCATGCAATATAGAGACAGCTCCCCTTTTAAGTGCCTAAATCTCACTCTCATCCAAAAATGAACTCTACTTTCACATCAGTCCAAGAGTGTTAAATTGTTAGGCCCAGTTTCAGACATGATGAGTACCAAGTGGATAGATGGATCACTGGTTAAATCAAGAGTCTTTTGGGATCTCAGCTCACTTTCACTTGTGGTGACAGACTGAAATGGAGAGGGGATTATTGTCTGAGGAGACCGACAACAGCAGAGCTACTGTACAGAAAGAAGTTACACACACATACACACAAAGATTATTACAGGAACATTTTCATTCTCAGTGTTGACCTAATAAATTCCTACAGATAGCTCAGTTTTACAGGATATGTCAAGGCAAAGGACAGGAAGAATAATGGGATTTTCCCAATTCATGCTGAGCATGAGCTTACTCCAGAGTTAGTGTGACCAAGCAGAAAAACTCTGGAAGAGAGTAAAGCACAACCCAGTATAAATCTCATCACCAGAATACGTCCTCACAACTGTAAGAAAAATCATTAAAAGGAGGTTGTTTATATCAACCTGGCCAATTCCTCTTAAAAAAAAAAAATCAAATACATGGACAATTTGAAAAATCATAAGTGAATAAGTATGACTCACCAGTACAGTCACTAACGTTCAATCTATTGTGATAAGAGTAAGGGGTACAGAATAAGCTAAGTAATGACTCAGGCTTTTTGTATGAATGTCAGCAGCCATTTATATCAAATCAGATTACAGCATTTTATTTGGTTAGATTGATCCTGTGATTGTATAGCAGAAATAACAAATAATCTGTTTCCACATGACTTTTCCCAGCATCCTGGAAAATCACTGTAATGCTATTTCTTAATTTAGGGCTTCCCACACGAGAAGGAAGGATTACCTCTGACTCCATGTAGAGCACTCCATGTGGGCATCAGGCACAGGGGAGACTCGACCTCAGAGGTCTTTTCCAACCTCAATGATTCTATGGGTGGAAGGATGGATTCTGAGCAGAAGAACAAAAAAGCTCAACCTTTGTGCCACATTTTTGAAGGACACTGTGGGGTGAAGCTCAGCAAGGAAACTGAAATCAGCATAAACAGCCAGACAGGAGATTTTAAGATTGGGAAACCACATTTGACTTCCTGCTATAGAGGATGTAATAGATGTAATATATGAAAAGAGAGTCAATCTTTTTTTAAAGATGACCTGTCACCCTGTAAGCAATTACTGAAAGTATAGGTGACCCAGCACCAACAGAAGGAGAGCCCCATAAATAACCCAGCTGAAACTCTGGAAAATTTGCAACAATCACTACCAAGGTGCACTTAAATTCTATCTAGTGCTTCAGGCAACTTTACATGGCAAAAGTGAGGAAGACAGAAGTGGTAAAGTAATCAGGCCAGTTCTCTGTTGCAGTCCATGTTACAGAAACCTCCTGGAATAACAGGCAAGGCTTGGTGAGCCAGGGGCATCACTCCCACAATAAACTTGGTTAGGTTGGATTTAGTCCAAGCAGAAAAAAAGAAAAACAACCTTATCTTCCTTTCTGCAAGGAATGGCCTCACTAACAGGGATATTCAAGAGGCTGGAAGCATTTCTGCCTGAATACCCACACCTGTGTCACATTGGCCATGGAAGTTCCCATTTCCTATCCAGCCAAGTGCTGTAGTTTCCCCAGGATCACCAACCACAGGTCTGAGGAAGAGGCAACTGATTCTGGGGACAATGGTTTATGTCACACCAATCCTGCTTACGTAAAGGACAGTTCACAAGAAACACTCACTGCAACAGCCTACAAGAGATTACAAGAAAAAAAATCTGTC